ATTCTTACTGATATTTGCCCACTTTAAAAAAAAATAATAAACACAATACAGATTCATGCAAGTCTTTGTATAATGTCCATAGTTCTAAAAAAGTTGTTCTGACAATTTTCCCGTGTGCTCTCACTGTTTTACGTTGGACAAAATTACTATAGAAGTCATTGTGTGAGTGCATGCGTGCCAAGTCTCTTCAGTTGTGTCTAACTCTGTGCAAGCCTGTGGACTGTAGCCTGCCCAGTTCCTCTGTCCATGGGACTCTCCAGAATACTGGGGAATACTAGAGTGGGTGACTGTGCCATCCTCCAGAGGAGCTTCTCAACACAGAGATCAAACTCACATCTCTTACAGCTCCTAGATTGGCAGGTGAGTTCTTTGCCACTTGAGTCACCTGAGAAGACTTATAAAAGTCATTACTCTACACGGTTTCTTCAGTCTAACATTAAATAGAGGCAGCTTTTTTCAAATTTATGGGGAAAGGGTTTAAATGAATTTAAATATTATCTAGGATTTGGAGATACTCTTTTTCAGAATTAAAGAAGTCCCATTTTTCAGAATTAAAGAAGTCCCATTTTTCTCTCAATTTGCTGTGTGTTTACCCTATACAAGTATTAAGCTTTATTAATTTTTGTATGTTTATTGAGAAGATCACGTTTTTTCAGGTAAGTTTGTGTGCATGTGTGTGTCTGTGCTACACATTGTACATCAAATAATGCAATGATTATCCAGGGCTCTGAATGACATTAGTTTTCTACAGGGAAAAATATGTTCCAACAAGCCTTTAATCAATGACTGAAATTATGTAAAGGACTCTGGTCTTATAAGTATTCTTCAACTTCAGGCTAATTTTATTCCTTAGTTGCAGATCTTCTTCATAACCTTCAAGCTTCAACTGAAGTTGAAATGTTTACTTGGTCCATCTTTTTTCTGATAGCCTTCAGAATCTGCAAGATTTGGAGGAGTTCTAAAGCTCCTATGTGACACCTTAGAGTCAACCTTTAAGACTCTAACCTCTTGAGTTCAAATCAATAATCACCTCAAAGGTAACATCACATCAAATAAGAGGCTTCCTAACATGGACTTCCCAATCCCTCTGCTCTCTTGTCCCTAGAAATTGTCACAACTTTGATCACTCTCACATGCTGACAAATACACACACACACACACGTGTGTTTGTGTATGGTCTGTGTGTGTCTGTGTGATGAGTCAGAGAAATACAGACATAAATATATATATTATATCAAGAAATTCTAGTCATTGCAATAAAATATTATCTGCAGATGATGATATTTCTATTTGAAAGGTAACTAAAAACTATTAAATCTACTAAAGAATTCAATCCTCAGTACATGTACAGGTTTGATCAAATAGTCTTTCTATTACAGTCATGACAGAAAAGAAAAGGACTTCCCTGGCAGTCCAATGGTTCAGACCTCCCTTCCACTGCATGGGGCATGGTTTCCACACCTGGTCAGGAAATCAAGATTCCAAATGCCAGGGAGCATAGCCAAAAAAAATTTTTTTTAATAAAGTAAGCAGATATATAATCTTTAGGGCATTATGCTTCTGTATCTATGAAAAATTAAAGTGAATATATATGTGCAGCCACACTACTTCTAAGAAACTATCCTGAAGAGACAGTAAAGGAATAATAAAAAATATACGCTTGTATTATATAGCATTTATATAGTATCATTTTTATATTAACAAGGTTTCAAAATAATAGAAATATCCTTGAATAGGAAGATAATTTTTTTTAATTATTATAGTTATTAACAGAGTATTATGAGATACATTAACTTACACTGCTTGTGCAAAAATCAATCTTATGTTATTATTTAATGTCACCAAAAAACCGTAGCTATAAGTAATACATGCACACACAAACACTAAACACACACATAGATTTCTCTGTGTAGATAGATTTCTCTTTCTCAAATATAAACCACATGTATATTAATTACCTTCCCCTCTTCTTTGTCTTTATATGTCTGTGTGTGTGTGTGTGTGTGTGTGTGTGTTTAATCACTAAGGGAAAGAGGAAGAACATCTCTGGAAAGACTAATAAATTCAAGTTTTATCTCATACTACTCCCTCTAGCTGGAGTCATCTTCACCTGATTTCTTTTGCATGTATATGCATATATACACAAACATACCCATCAAACACATAATTATATTTTTAATAACATTGGGAGAAAGCAAAATTATACATCCAAACTATCAAGAGATCATTCCCCTAGAGAGAGAAATAGGAGTAAGAGATTTAAAATTTTAGCACATAGGATAATTGCCAACTTTAATTTTTAATAAAATACGACATTTATAAGGTGTCCTCCATTTAGTATACACAATAAATGGGATGTAGCTTAAGATCTCAGGACTGTAATTTTTTTTTTAATTATTGGAGACAAAACTGTTGTATTTCATGCAAAAAGATTTGAACTAAATCTTAAAGAAAATTAGAAGAGGTAGGGCTTAAGAATGTCAATGCTAAAGGTAAGGGAGAGGTGGACAATGGCTAACAGCCAAGACAGAGAGCATCAGCTTGTGTAGATGGAACTGGAGAGGCTCACTCTGCAACCTGGCAGTTGGCCCTTTCTTCAGACTGGAATGAAACATCTCACAGAAGGGTGGAATAGAGACTATCCCTTTGAAACTTGGTGCAATATCAATGTGCTTTGGGTCAACCACAGGTTTCAAGGTAAAATGCTGACTAGGAGTAAAAACAGCTCCGTGCGGGCCAGGCCTTCTCCAGCACAAACTCTTTTTCCTAAAAATGACACATAAATTAAATAGTTGTTTAATTCTATTTCTAACATATCACAAAAGGAAGCATAAATAAATATGGAATGAGTAAATACATAAACAAACAAATTAATAAAAGACAAATTAACCTATGGCTTCTATTTACACCAAAATCCGGTTTGCTTCATTTCCTCAGAACATATTTCAGTGTACATTCTCTATTAAATCTGTCCTGTACACCCATGTCAGGATCACTTTCCTGAGGCTTGCCAATAATATCTTTCTACACACACACTCACCCATCCCAAATAACATGAGCTACACACTATATTTTTCCATCTACTTCCAATTTAAGACTCAACAACAGATTTATTTCTCCTCATCTGGATTCCTAAAACTAATCTTGACCTTGTCATGTCTGTTTCTAACAATATTCCAAGAGCTTACTGTTGCCAAATATAAAAAGAAATGTCACAAACTTGACACAAATATTATTAACCATTCTCTAATCCCCAGACACACTAGCTATTTCAAGTGTTATGAGTATCCAGTCATTCCTCCAACTGAAATATTGGTTCCCTCAGCTCCTCCTGCTGAGATTCTCTACATCCTTCTAGATCCACCACAAGTGTCACTTGCTCTATACAAATTTCTTTGATCTATTCAGGGGGATATAATTCACTCTCTTGCTGGTTTTCCACAAGACTCATACATACTTCTAATACAAAATGTTTCACATGAAATTATAATTATTCCTGTGTCCCACACACTGGAATATAAGCTCATAAAGTAAAGGCAAAAGGAGAAGGGATGTGACAGAGGATGAGATGGTTAGATAGTATCACAAACTCAATGGACAGGAATTTGAGCAAACTCCAGGAGACAGTGGAGAACAGAGGGCCTGGTGTGCTGCCATCCATGGGGTTGCAAAGAGTAGAACATGCCTTAGCAACTGAACAGCAACAACAAAGTAAAGCCTTAAGTCTTGTAATGATACTACAGTGCCAGGACAAAACAGTCCTACAAATCCCATAAACTGGGCAGAAATCTTAAGCCAGTTTGTTATAAAACAACGGACCCAAAATTCAGGAAGTAGATAAGGAAAAGATTAGCAGGGTCTAGTTTTGAGGTCAAATTCTGGGCATTGTTCATAATCTTGGGACCAAGCAACAAGGGTTCCTTGAAACCTGTTTTCCTGGATGTTCAATGAGGAGTGAACCTCCTATTTCTATCCCTATTTCAATTCCTTCTATAGGAAAGGCCCTTCACCCTCTACTTTCTACCCTTCTCCTTCAGACTGTGCTGAACACTTTCCATTTCTCCATCTTTCCAGATCCATACTGTGTTTGTTTTTTGTTTACACTTACTGTGTGTTTAGGAAGTTGATTTCTATGGACTGCATAACCCCAGTAGTTAGTTTCCTTCTTCACTGTGAATAAACTCAAAGGATTAGACACTGAGAAGGTTAGAGTATGCCCTCCCTCAGTCCCAGCCTGTCAGGCCACAGTTTCAGCAGCGGCTGTATTCTCCAACCTATAGATCCATCTCCTGTTGAGGCATCCATTCTCTCTTTGCTGAAGATCTGCTTGGGTTCCAGCAACACCCTCCTTCTCCCAGTCCTTCCGACATAGGATGGGAACATTGTCCTGCTGATGCTCATCCCTGAGTACTTGACCACTTCTTGCTACTTCACTTAATAATGTCCACACCTCTGAAAATAGTCTCTTCATTAAACTGCCTTTAATGAAACTTTTTTAGTACCCTGCCTCTTTCTTTCAAGGTCCTCCCCCAAATTAAAGGAAGATACTAAAATATTTCTTCCAACAAGAAATTTTCTCTTGTGCTCCAACTACTCTATCCTCTGCCCTGCCCTCAAAATGTAAGATTCAGGAGCTCCTCTCTCTGGGTTTCCACAGAAGCCTTTTGAATAGCTTTTGTCTCTCTGGAGTATCATCACCTGTTAACTCGCATTCCTCTTTCTTAGAGGAGAGCTGTCCCTTATTCACATTTCTATCCCTGGATCTGAGTGAGCATGGGTCTACTACATATAAGGTCCTCAGAGACATTTATTGAGTGAATGGCATCTCTGGAGAGGGGAGAAAAGTCTCAGTGGAGCTAGACTTCTACAAGGAGCCCTTAAGATTGTCAGAGGTGGGTGAGAGGGCAGAACTCAGTGAGTGCAGCCTCCAATCCAATCAGAAATTATGTGCACCTTGGGAGTGGTGCCTCTGGCCTCATGAAAATGACAATTTGTCCAGCTCAGAGTTGCCTCCATACAAAGCCCTTCCTCCTCTCATTTGACCTCTGATGTACAGACAAAAATGAAGCATGCTTGCCTGCTGAAAAAGCCATGAAGTGGTCAGTCTTCTTAAAGTTGCCACTTTCATCCAGGAAGTGACCAGGATCAAACTGCCCTAGGTTGGGAATCATGCAGGACAGAAGTCAGAGATGTTAATATGACTGTGCCCTGAGATAAAGAGAAACACAGTAACTAGATTATTAAAAAACATCATGGAATTTGAAAAATGCCTTATCTAATCCTTTTATTTTATAAATGAGGTGGCTGAGGTACATACATATTTTATTCTCTCCATGTCAAAGAACAAATTAATGACCAAGCCTAACAGGTCTTAAGTCATATAATGCCAAATAAATTATATAAATGATTTATGATTCAATCATATAAATCAAAGTGCCAGTCCAGGGCACTGTTAAGTGATTCCAACGCTAACCATCTTCAGCTTGTAGCCTACCAACAGCACTTGCTCTTCAGAAAACTAAGGCAGGTGCTTTGTTCTTAACAAATAAATTGGAGCGTTGTTTAAAAGTGCTGATGTCACTAAAAATTCAGTTCATTCACTGGAACCAAATATAGGGTCCTCTCCAAATATGATCTGATTGGCCATATTCTTGAAAACTATTCAGTTTCCCTCTAAGATGAGAAACTAATTAAGTATCCCTCTTACTGCTATGTTTTTTCAATGTAATTGTTGCATATGCTGTGGAAACAGGAAGGAATTTCTGGGTTCTAGTAAGGTTTTCATAAACTCAGAGATATAGACATAATGATTTGAAGCTCAGTTTTTATCATCAATCAAGTATTTCTCTCTTAAATTAAGGTTTATGACCACAGGTACGTTGTTTAGCATTTCCATGCCCTTTACAAAAAGTTTGCCAACCTTGCTTTAAAGCAAAACTTATAACATTCATGGTATGTTCATAATATACAAAATATACATCTGATAACTTTAGCAGAAAGGAAGTGGAACAAGTTAAATAGCCATATACAACTGCAGTGTTCTTGTATTTTAAACAAAATTTAATACTATTAATTTTAAGACTGTAAATACTTAAGGATGCAAATTGTAACGTCAGGGGTTTTCCAGGTGGTGAAAGTGGTAAAGAACCTGCCTGCCAATGCAGGAGACACAGAAGATGTGGGTTCAGTCACTGGGTCAGGAAGATCTCCTGGAGGAGGGCATGGATTGCAGTGGAGGAGGGCAATCCACTCTGGTATTCTTGCCTGGAGAATTTCATGGACAGAGAAGCCTGGCAGGCTACAGCCCATAAGGTCGCAGAAGCAACTTAACACATGCAAATATACTGTGATCTCAAGAGAAACCACTAAAAAAAAAAAAAAAAATAGTTTGATGCCAATAGAAATTTACAATAACACAAAAACTTAAACTATTCCAGAAGAAGGAAGAAAGGGGGAAATGAAGGAATACAAAGGAGGACAAACAAAAGCAATTATTTAAATATATAATTATTCCAAGAATAATAAAACAATGAAGGAGGAGGAGTGGAATATAAACTGAGTGAACAAGTGGGACAAAAATGATAGATTTCTAGAAATAAAACACCTGTTGATAATTATATTAAATTTTAATGAACTAGGCATTCCCACTTAAAAGTCAGAATGCACTAAACAGACATACAAGGAAGACTCCATCCAAAACCAACAGAACATGTTCTTCTAAGCACAGATGAAAGATTCTCCAGGATAGATCATATGATAGGGTACAAAAAAGGTATTAATAAATTAAGAAGATTGAAATCATATCAAGTATCTTTTCAAACCAAAATAGTATAAATCAAGAAATCAATTACACAAGAAGAAAACCAGAAAATTCACGAAGATGTGGAGATTAAACAATGTGCTATTGAACAATCGATGATCCAAAGAAAAATCAGAAGAGAATCATAAAGTACATTGAGACAAACAAAAATGTAAACACAGCATATCAAAATCCATGAGATTCAGGAAAAGCAGTTCTAAGATGAAAGTTCATAGTGAGGAGAGGTCCTAAGATGGTGGAGGAATAGGACGGGGAGACCACTTTCTCCCACAAATTCATCGAAAGATCATTTGAATGCTGAGCAAGTTCCACAAAACAACTTCTGAACGCTAGCAGAGGACACCAGGCACCCAGAAAGACAGCCCATTATCTTCGAAAGGAGGTAGGATAAAATATAAAAGATTAAAAGAGAGACAAAAGAGTTAGGGACCAAGACCCATTCTGGGAGGGAGTCATAAAAGAGAAGTTTCCAAACACCAGGAAACCCTGTCACCGGTGGGTCTGTGGGGAGTTTTGGAATCTCAGAGGGCAACATAACTGGGAGGAAAAATAAATAAATTTTAAAAATCCACAGATTATGCACCTGATGGCAACTCACAGCAGAGAAGTAGCCCAGATGCTGGTGTCTGCCACCAGCAAGTGGGGGCTGAACAGGGAGGTGGGGGCGGCATTGCTTAGGGTAGGGATCTGGCCTGAATGCCCTGAGGACAATCTGAGGGAGCTAATGTGAGATAGCAACCCAAACAGTGGGATAGCCAGAGAGAGGAAAAAAAGAGAGAGAGAAAGAACTTTCCTATGAAAAGCTCTAAGCTAAGACACTGCCGACCTGCTCACAGAACCAAGGACTGAGCGAATACCAGAGGAGAGCTAGCCGGCTGCAGATCTGCCCATCCCCCGCTGGAAGCAGAGAGGCAGACGAGCGATAGCCAGAGCTAGAAACCGGCAATCTCGGACCCAGAGAAGGCATCTTCTACAAAACTGTGAGCAGGCTCCCAGTTGCTAACCAAGTCTTCCTGGGATCCTAGATGGTTGACATCCACTGGGAAGGGCACAGCCAGAGATCAGCTTCCCAGAGGAGACACTCAGCACACCTGAGACAGCGCTCCTGCTGTGCACCCAGGAAACCGAGCGGCCAGGACTGGGGAAGTGAGAAGACGCACCGCCCCACCTGAGGAGAGTGCGCTCGCCAGGCACCTGGTCACCTGAGCTGCTCAGACCTGGGAAGGGCACAAAACATAGGCCCAACTGAGTCTGCACCGTTATGGAGTACCCGAGAACCTGAATCTGAGCGGCTTAAACCTGGGAAATGCACAAAACCCAAGGTCCGCTTTAGACAGTTTCCCTGCAGAGCAACCTGGAGCCTGAGCTGTGTAGACTGGGAAAGCACACACACCCTGAGCGGGGGCAAACCCATTGTGGTCCAGACACTGCGAGCACTCCCCACACACGCCAGTGATACTTGTTTGCAGTGTTCCTCCCTCCCCACAGCACGACTGAGCAAGTGAGCCTAAATAAGTGACCACCTCCGCCCCCTTGTGTCAGGGCAGAAATTAGACACTGAAGAGACGTGCAAACAGAAGAAGCCAAAATAAACAGAGGGAACCTCTTTGGAAGTGACAGGTGCAACAGATTAAACCCTGTATTTGGCACCAGCTACATGGGAAGGGGTCTATAGACCTTGAGAAGTATAAGCTGGAACAAGGAACTATCTGAAACTGAACTGACCCCACACAGCCCTCAACAGCTCCAGAGAAATTCCTAGATATATTTTTACTATTATCATTTTTAGATTTTTTAATTTTTAAGTCCTTTATTACTGCCTTAATTTTCATTTTTATAACCATTACCTTTCAAAAAAAAGGCATTTTTAAAGGAAATTTCATATATATTTTAATAATTTTGTGATTGTGTGTTTTTTTGTTTTTAACCGGTTTCATTCACTTTATTATTCTCTCTATAAAATTATGTGGTGGCTACAGCTGGGGCCTGGGTCCTCTGCACGGAGACTCTGGTGTGGGTCTTCACAAGATGTTCAGTAAATTCCTGATATGGAGACTTGATGAACACCGTCTCTTTCCAGAGGTCAGGGGTGAGATAACTGTAGGTCTTGGAAATGGCATCAAAAGTGGCCTTGGCGAAGTTGCCCAGGGTGGTGGTGCAGCCCCTGGCAGAAGTGTAGCAGTCGTTGATGCTGGCCATCATCAGCAGTTTCTTGGGCACAGGGGCGGAGACAATGCCAGTGCCTCTGGGGGCAGGGATGAGGCACACCAGCAAGGAGCCGCAGCGTCCAGTCACCTTGCAAGGAACTGTGTGGGGCTTGCCGATCTTGTTCCCCCAGTAGCCTCTTTGCACGGGGACGATGGACAGCTTGGCCAGGATGATGGCCCCACGGATGGCAGTGGCAACTTCCTTGGAGCACTAGACACCCAGACCGACATGTCCTTTGTAATCCCCGATGGCAACAAATGCCTTGAACCTGGTCCGCTGGCCAGCACAGGTCTGCTTTTTCACGGGCATAATCTTCAAAACTTCATCCTTGAGGGACGCTCCCAGGAAAAAGTCAATAATCTCAGACCTTGATGGGCAGAGAGAAAAGGTAGATCTCCTCCAGGGACTTGATCTTCATGTCCTTGACCAGACAGCCCAGCTTGGTAATGGGGAGCCACTCCTTGTCCTCGGCCTTGCCTCCGCGAGCTCTGCAGCCTCTGCCCCGGCCCCGACTCCAGCCACGACCCTGGCCCTGGACGCCACTACCGAAGCCTCTGCAGAAGCCATCGCGGCCTCCCATTCCAGGGCCCCCCGGGCCTGCGGGCCTTCCCGCAGCACCGGCGTCATCCGCCATTTGGTGTTTTCACGAAGAAGCGTGTTTTGATTTTTTAATATTGTACTTTTGAGAGTCTAATGTCTATTCTAGATGTTTAATCTTTGCTTTTTGGTATTAGTTATCAATTTTGTACCTTTAAGAATCAAATCTTCAGTACTCATTTTTACTTAGGAGTGTGATTACTGGCTTGATTGCCCTCTCCACCTGTTGACTCTCCTTTTTCTCCCCTAAGTCACTTCTATCTCCTCCCTCCCCCTTCTCTTCTCTACCCAACTCTGTGAATTGCTTTGGGTATTCTGGGCTGTGGTGAACACTTAGGGAACTGAATACTGGCTAGATCTGTGTCTCTCCTTTTGACCCCTCCTCTTCTCCTCCTGGCCACCTCTATCTCCTTCCTCCTTCTTCTCTTCTCTATGTAACTTTGTGAACCTCTCTGGGTGTTCCAGGCTATGGAGAGCACATAGGGATTTGATTACTGGCTAGATTTCTCTCTCCCTTTTTGATTCCCCCT